GGGGGGGTGGGGGACCAGGCGTCGACTTTTTCTCCGGTACGGTAGAGAGTGTTAGGCGCACCTTGAAAAGACTCTGCGCGGATGCTGACTGGCCCGATCGGTCTGCCCGGCCTGGTTTACTTCCCGAAGTGTGTGTCCACCGACTGGTCTCCGCGTGTACGTCCGTTCTACGTACACGCAGAAACTCTCTCGTGTTCTGCGCGCGTGTAGTGGCACGCTCGAATACGCACACGACCGTCGCGGACGGATCAAACAAGTGCGTAAGGTAAGGCCCCCCGCGCGAACACGTCAGATTTCATTCGTGCGTTTCTCGTATGTAGGTGATGCCGTTCCTTCTCTCTCGGTCCCTCTATATACCTATACTGTCGCTCGCCATGAGATCGATGATCTCTCTCCATTTTTCTCGGAGAGATAACCGGACATTCAGAGACGTATGTCCATTCATGTCGTCCGCATCGGGACGTTAAATCGTCGTCCAAATAGACACAACTAGGATCTGTGTCTATATAAAAGCGTTTCTCTGTCTCACATACTTGTCTCGTCTTTTTACCTCCGGTTTTCGCACACCCCTCCATTTTTCATCGCGCATCTCGTTGAACCTTACTTTCGATCGAGTCCCGAATCGACGGGCCATCAGTCGGTCAGGCTCCAATTCTTTCGCACGCCTCATCCCCGCCGTCTTCTCTCGCATCCTTCTCATTCGCGCTCGTTCTGTTTCTTTCGCCCGTTGCCTCTCTCTTTGCGGCTCTACGATTTTAGCGTATCGGTGACTTCCGTTAGTTTCACCCGAATTTTAAGCATCTCGCAATGAACGAAGATACGACGATGGAATTTCAGCGCGTGAGTGCTAAATTTGAGATTATAATCGCATGTAGTTAGCACGCGGCAAGCTATCGAAATAATTAACTATGCATACGCACACGCCGTGTAAATTTCATTCATAAAACAGATTTAATTAATGCGGAATAAGATGAGAAAATAATATGCGATCGTTCGATAATTATAATCTTAATTTATTTGCGTATTTATAAATATACATAGTGTTCACACATGTGACGCGGTGAGCGTATCGCTACGCGTGTACAATAAATACTGAGGATGATCCTTGTAGGAGCGTTCTCGTGTGTGCGATGATCATAAAGTGAACACAACAAGAGAATACAGTGAGAAGAGATCGAATTATTCAGAGTGAAAATAAATAAAAGTTACGCGCGACAAGAGAGAAGAGAATATTTTGCGAGGGATAAAAGAAAGAAAGAGAGATGAGATTGAAGAGATGCCACGATGACGTTTGTAAAATTTTTCTTTTCCTAGGTTGATGATGGTTTGTACGCGGAATAGGCCAGTTCGTGCCCAGATCTTCCCCATCCGCTCGATCCGTGTCCTCCTCCGACTTGAACGACTTCGTGTCCGTGGTCGTGGCCGCCTGACACAAGTTTCTTTAATCCGATGATAGCAGCAAGTACTAGCGCAAGTTTGCTCACTATCAGCGCTTTGCCAGCCAACAGTGCAAGAGCGCCAAGAGCTAAAGGTACTAATGTGCCGCCGATTAACAGAGGAATAGCAAGAAGACCCATTTTATTCTTCTTCTTGCGTCCTAAAAAGATAACGTGATTATGTTTAACAAAAGTATTTGACAAAATATAAAATGACGAAATTTTATGATGAATAATTTAAATTAATCTTATAATGAAAGAATTAAATTTCAATTCTATTTAACATATATATGTTATAAATGGAGCAAGAGAGAATATCTGACAATGTGAGATAAATCAAAGTAATTACATTTTTAAAAAATTTATTAAATATCTAATTATTATTAATTCATATACATTCGCTAACGTTAGTGGTACTGTTTATTAATAATGCTGGTCTTCTTACCTTCTTCTGTGAGGCTACGTTGGAATTCATCCACGCTTGGCAATTTTAGCTTTAGAGTGTGACTTTGAAAGAATTTGACAATCTTGTCGAAAATCATGCTATTAAGAGCATCATCCTTGTCTTCTAACGCTCGCGGTAAACTGGCTTCAATTTCTTGCAGAGATTTTTCTGGCTCGGATTCATTGGCAGCTGATTCGTCGTGAACTAAAGTAACGCCATCGGCCACATTCAATTGTACGTTCCGCGAGATCCTATCCATGGCCGATAAGAGCTTTAACTTCAGACAAGGACTCAGTTCCGCGCCGGCACATTCTTTATACACTTGATAGACGTAACGCAACTCTCCAAATACTCCAATGCCACTTGACCTTGCGGTTTGTTGTTCATTAATGGAATTGGATGTGGGATTAGTTTCGGCCGATCTCGCAGAGACCGCCGTCACTAGTACAGCCAGACATACGTAGTGTGCAAATTGTTTCATTTTTTTGAAGTAAATATCTGTGAAAAGTAATTAATTTATTGAATAAAATAATAAATTCATTAATAATTTGCTTCTATAATTCAATAATGCAAAAAATGTAACGCAATAATAGCATAAATTAGTTGAGCGTAATCAATAGCGTAAATTAATCAATTAGATAATCAAGCAAATGCTGGATTTCTTTAATAAGCGCGAATATCAAACGCGTTTTAAATTTCAAACCGAAGAAGTTTACGTTAGTCATTAAAAATGATTATTAAAAATTTATTTTAAATTTAATAAACTTAAAAAAATTTCCAGTTTTTTAAATTGTTAAAGTTGCTTATGCTATTTACAATTAATGACTTTTCCAAATATATTTTCTACCCAAGTATAGTAATAATTCTCCGAAATTATATTATTCGTACATTTTTCTTCATTTATTTGTGAAGTAACTCTAAAATGTTCTTATAGAAATTTTTTCGTATACATTTTTATCACAAAACGTCTACAAAAATCCATCACTTAATGCGATCACCAAAGGTTCAAACTACGCAAGCTTCAATCAAGACACTGTACCTTCCACTTGATACGAGAAAATCAAACTTCTCGTTCCTCGCTTGTTCCTCGAGAAGGTCCTTGCGTCCCGCACGCGGCTGCCGACTTCTGATTAATTTAACACGCTGCGTACTACCGCGAGTTGAGTGTATAGCTGTGAGCACTCTAAGTAGACTGTACGTAACGGAAGCCCTGCCCTAGCTCTATATATCTAGCCAGGTATACCTCCGTACTGTGCGATATTTCCCCCACCTGGTCGGTGCCGGTGTATGTACACCACCATCGCGACTATTTTCATACCATTGATTTGAGAGCGGTCGTTTTGCACCTAGACAACCACCCGGGAGACGAAAGTAGAGAGCAGAATTCACCTCCGCGGAACGCGTCATAATCACGGCACTCCCCCCGAGAGATTTTATCTCCCATCAGCAGCGCATCCGATTGAGTTTTGCCGTTCTTACACGGGTGTCTCGCGATGGCTGTCCTCGTCTTCCTAATGTTTATTCCTCATACGGATTTAATTCGACCGGTGTAACCGCATTTCGTCCGTATCGTTGTTCCGTTGTTCCTTTTTGCGCGTGGGTGCGTAGACCGACCACCTACGCACCGGCCGACGCGGTTCGATGCTCCCGCCGTTCGCGATTCGAATTTCTCGCCGGTTGCTCCGATTCGAATAAAATTGAAAATGAAAGGCGCCCCGGAGAACAATACCATATGTCGCGGAAACACCGTGAGATTTTCGCATGCCAACTGCGCGAATCAAATCTCGAGGCAACACGTCGAATGTAGAAAGCGTCTTGGAACCAACGTTTACGGTCATTGATATATTTGATAACAGGAAGCGCAATAAAATATAAAGTGTGTTATTGGCACGAGCTTACACATACTCAGATTTATACTGTATTTACGATACTGTAAAATCGTTCATTCGTTAAGTGGCGAGAGATCGCGAGCTGAGGATCCGTTGTTCCAGCTGTTACTTTCTAGGCTGCCTTAATTATTTACGTCAAATTTCATGATTATATCAGAATATGATATTCAGAATAAATTTCACATATAAGACAGGCTTCCAAATATGACTTTGGAATATCGCAAAAAAATCTTTTCGAATGTCAATCAAGATAGTTTAAAGTTACTACTGTGATACAGAATTATCATCATCACATATGTACGATTGGATATATAACTGCATTTCTCATTACTTATCAAGTATTGTGGATACACAGTTATATCTCTGACATTAAGTTCGGGATTCTTGAAACGTTTGCTTCGGCTATTATAATTAATGTGGCAATGTATGTTCCACTTTTCTATAAAAGATTGAACAAACGTTTTTCTCTACGCTCGTGTCATCGAAAAAGGAGAAACGATGAATCGACAAATTAACGTATACCGTTACGCGCGTTAGGCACAATTTCTGTATCCAATTAATCATTTAATTCATCGATGCTTCTAATTCAATGATACTTCGTATCCCTGGTGTGTATCCTTGACTTTTCATCTTGTTCAATTCGATATTCGCCAGCGGATGTGGTTTTAACTAGGTCATACCAAGTGAAAACGCCGTTGCGTGCAGATACACTTAGACCATTTAACGAATTAAACGTGTTTCCAGGAGGAAAGAAACGAAACGGAGACTCTCACGCAAAGAAACCAAAGAAAAAAGCGAAATATCCTGTTGTCTCTCATTTAGAGTTGTCATTAAAACATAGTTGGCTTGACTGTATTACTACCCCCTTCGCCTTCGTTAACACCGCGTCAAGATTGCCAGTGCATAACGTTTTCATTGAGCTGCACGCGAATGTCCAAGAAAGCATCGCGACCGATTAACGGATACAGAGGAAGGGGAGTCGGTCCTCTTCTCGGTCTTCTCGTCGCACGTCTTACCTCCCGCCCACCCCCATTCCCCTCTTCGCCCCTCAACCCCTCGCGTTCTCGCGGATCTACGCGACTGCGATGCTGCCGGAACTTATTTGCGGCAGCATAATGTCGCGTTACCGATTTCTCGTACGCGTATGTGCCGTGAAAATGATCCCCCCGCGGCATGGCATGGCGAAAGCGACGATCTCACGGGATGGATCACCAGCATGCGTCGCACGCGGCTAATAAACGTGTGTCTGAGACTTCGTCGTTTCCGGTTCGCGGAACCATCGAGCCTGAATTCCATTTTGTACGACCGGCGATTTTCTCGTCGGCTCGATACGCGTGGCTACTCGGCCAATAAAACTGTCGTTATTGTACCTCCTTTTTCTTCCTTAGAGCCGCTTCTTAGGTAGGAACGGAACCCGCGGTATGCAGGTTACCAGTTGTACCCTAGCTACGCGTGCGTCCGCTCTTTGGAGAGGGGCAATCACTGGGTTAAGATAGATATTATCAAGTATTTAAGTAGATTATATGGCGTATTATCTCTCGCGGGGAAAATTTTACTTTGAATATTTTCAAATGTTTTAGTTATTATCTTCGTAAAATTAATAGTCAATCGTTGTATTTGCTACGGAAATAAATATTTCTGATATTAATATGATACGAATTAATATGATATTAGTTTGCTATATTTGCTGTACAAAATTTAACGGTATTTTTCTTTTTTTTATAAGAGAGAAATGCATATAATTTTGAAAATTTTAAAAGGGTTCTAAAAATTATTTTTTAGTATTTAAATAAAATCCTGATTTAGTAAGAATAAATAAAAATTTTCTCTCATATATATATA